GGCTTTTACTATTTAAGTTTCAGTGGATTTTAAATTTATTATGGTGGAATTATAATCTGGAAATCGACAACACATTAATTTATTTGACTTTTAATATAATGGTAAAATCACTCGTTTACAATAGCCTGTTTAAATATAAACAGCTGATATAATATTGAAGTTTAAATTCTAGTTTACATAAAATAAATAAAATTTAAAATATAACTATATAACTACAGCATATTATGTATATTTATTTCAACTTTTCAACCAAAGTTCGCTTGGCAGGAGAGACTAGTATCCCCTATATCAAATAATCTTCAGTGTAACGTTTGCTACAATCGTTCCTTAGTTAGCGTCTGTCCATGTGCCTTATTTTAAGTCATGGCAAAGGTAACTTTTACGGGAAATTCCTTCTTAGTCAGTTTGAAAGGACAACAACAATATTGCAACAATATTGCGTAGTATGACCCTCTTTGATAGTGTAGGTGCCCAAATGAGCTACAACCAATCTTGTACCCTGCTTAGGTTTCCCATTAACATAATGATAGAACTTTTTAGCTTAGGTTTATGGGGTGACGAACCTAAACGGCTTTATGTGTTAAAAAACTGTAACGTATACAACAGAGCGTTCTACGTGTCTTGGTAAAGAACAATATTCAAACTGAACCTAAAAGGCTTTATGAGTTAAAAAACCTCTAATGTATACAACCGAGCGTTTTACGTACCTCGGTAAAGAACAAAATTAACACTGATTTAAACCGTTTTCTGCCAATAACAAATTCGACACAACATAACCATTCATTGGAACCTTTAATAAAGAAAAGGTACTTGCATACATTTTACTATTCGCCTATTGGGTCTGATGATGAGTGTCCAATCGAAATTGATCACCCCTAACCATCTTTTTTGTATATTTACCGTCTTGTGAGTAACAGTATAAGCGTAAATATATGTTTTCAGTGTTATAAGACGTTTCTTTTGTTTACTTTCCGTAAAGAAAATATAAGAGGTGATGTTTGATCATGGATTTCTTAATATACATAGAATGGTTGATAGGGATGTCAAATATTAAGCCTTTGTCGTAAATAAAGAAATCTAAAATCGAAAGAAATAATGCGGAGCTTACTTTTGAATTTTTATTGTTTGTACTTTTTTAAAGTGATTAATTGATTTCATCTCCGGACAGACTAAGTATGTTGGAGGTCATGTATTAAGTAAAAACAAATCACTCCAATTTGAGAAGTAAATATTCGTTTGTTTTGAATAATTGAATTCACATGTTTCACCTGATCGAATAATGTAAATAATGACACCAAGTCTAAATTGCTTTTAGAATGATGTAATAGATCGGCTGTACGAAAAACTACTAAATAATGTGTGATTTATATATATTTCCGGTGTAGTGGGTAAATAATCTTTAAAATGACATCACATTTATGAAAATGGGTGAAGAAATATGGAAGTTATGTTATACTAACAACAAAAGATCACATTAGAAATTATAGTATTTATAGATAATTAGTGCAGGTAATAATCTTATTGGAGAAAAATAACTGATACCATACTACTGCACTTTGGGACAAAGAAGTCTGTCCTTGGGAAGCTGTGGCTGCTGGGCTATTGAAGACAGCAACGTGGTCCAGGGTTATAGCAGGGGGAGTGTACTCATCAGAGGGAAAAGGCATCTTCTATAGGGTCTGAAGCAGCAATGTCATGGGGGAGGGGGGGGGGGGGCAATGAAATGGTCAAAAAGGCACAAGATCATGTGACTTAAGTAACTGATAGTAAAAATGGTAATTAGCAACAATTTTCTCAGTCACAGTTTTATTACTAATGCAAGATTGACTTACAAAAACAAAGTTAAATTATCAACGTAATCACATGTCTTATTTGTTTTAGGTGGTTCATAATAGAAAACTACGACGACGGAAGCATTGTTTTATAATATAATATCTGACAGTTTCAAATTACTCCCTGTTAATGGTACTCACTTACCTCTTCTTTGACAGATAATTAAACTAAAATAATCAAAATGTAATTTTTTATTTCAGGTTTTCCATTAAAATATTTACAGTATACCAAAGAAGAAAGCAACAAAAGCTAAACCATACAATAACAAAAAACAATAGTATGTTAAATGTTAATCATACATACCACTACTATAGGTATTATTGTACCAATGAAAATTTTATTGACGTAACGCTAACTGAATTGGCACATGTGAATACTTAATACAGGACATTATTTTATTTAATAATTGAGCGGAGTGAGTGAAAAGAACGAATCTCTTCGACTTCGGACCTTATGCAATCTATGTAATCAATTAAGTCTATATATGGGCTGAACATATTAAAGCCAAACTGACCAGGGTTATTTCGACAAACAGTGAACATTTCATAAAACAAATTTCAGTTTGATAATGCCTGTACAGTTTTAAACTAAAATACAATTTTTAACATAACCCTTATGAGTTGCTATGATGGTTATTAAATTAACAACACGTAAATGTAAATAAAGAAAGAATAATATCGTAATAACATTTGGTAATGACAAGACAACCCATCTACAGTAATCTAGCAAATTCCAAAACACAGTACAAAATAAAAGGACAGTCCGATGATTACCATTGAGTATTGATTATTACATGGATTCGCATAACTAATTTACTAATGACATGTGCATTTTAGGCTAATATAATGCCAGCTAGAAACAAGTCAAATGTTTGAAGGCGTGCAAGAAAGACTAATAATGTGGCGAGAGTTCGCGAAATACATTTTGATAATGACCAAAGCCTTTGAGAAACAAATTTAAAAACTGTTAATATATTATGATAAATCTTATAATACGTAGAGCAAATGTTCTCGCTGTGAGATGAGCAGCTCAAAAGGTTCATCAGTGTGCAGTAAATGCCTGACCAAGTCAAGCAAATTTACAATTGATAATTTCGTGGATCCTGGAGTAGTTCCAGCTTCTCTACTACAGGACTTAACACATATCGAGCAAATTAATGCTAATAGTGCACGCAACTATTTGCAATTCATAAGGTTTGTATTTATCAATATAATTTACTTATGTTTTTATGTTGTTATCCATAGTACTTTTAATACAAAAAGAATTTGTAAAGAAGGTTGATTGTTTATATCGCTTCTTACTCCGCGGCAGACTTGAGGCCGCATACCTAGTTTATATAGTTTATAATAGTGGAGATACTTGTAAATTTCTACGTGATTGTTGGAAATGTGATTACCAAGTTCCGAGGAGGGCAGACCAATTTATGTTTGGTCCATAGATATGCTACATCTTCAGGGGGACGGCCCACTAAGACTCAGAAGAAAATCTTATAAGTACGCATAGGTACACATCAAGTTAAAGGTCTTCGTCAGTAAAATAGAATCCCGCAAACCTGAACTTAAATAATATTCACTTTTGCAGTGTATATTGACAGCAGTTGAAATATACATTATTTGCAATGATATTATACGATATCTCTTTGGGAGGGCGCTCGCTAAGACGAAAGAAAATCATGAACGTAAGAATAGGTCGATATCTACATCAAATTAAAGGTATTTATTAGTAGAATACAATACAGCGAATTTGAGCTCAAAAGAACAACTGAGTAAATAATAGCAGCCATTCAAACATTCAAAATGACAGATTGAAGAAATATTTGAACGGCTGTAACTTTTTACTCAGTTGTCCATTAGATTTCAAATATTATGCATTGTATTCTACCAGTAAATGCCTTTTGATTTGATGTGCATATCAATCTAGGTTTACATCTAAGATTTTTTCCGACTCCTAGTGGGCCGTCCCCACCGTATCACTGAATAATGTGTTAAAATTACGTTATTGGTCAGTAACTTTGTACCAAGCCTTGAAGCTCTATCTCGATTATTCTTTTAAATATTTAACCGTCCCTTGACTTTTTTCATACATCATTTACTATAGGGTGTGTTCGGGAAAGTAAGGGCTGTTGTGACTTTTAAAGGCACCAAAGACTTCGAAGTATTACCTTAAATAGTTTATATTAATAAAAGTGCACAGTGTGGACAGTTTTATTTTCATTTTTTAACGTTAACGTTTGGATAATTTGACATTTGTGAGTGATACATTTTGATTCGTGTTAAGCTACTGGGCCAATAAAGCTGAAATATTGTTATAATATAATACAACCAATTATAATTAGTTAATTGCCAATATACGACGGATGTACATAGGACGATTTTGATTTAAAACTTTGCTAGGACTGATCCCCGTCGGCAAATTTGAGTACTTTCTTAAGAATGCACTTTATTGGTATAGGTTGGAAGATATTTCTATAGTGTTTGTTTAAACCATATGTCAGTAAATATTTTTTTATGTCTTTTTTGTGTACATTGCAGAAATTCGAGTTTCACTTAGCGAGAGCTTTATGTTTCATTAGAAAATATAGTAAATGGTTTGTACAGTTTCCCTTGTGGTTTTCTGTGTAATTTATATCTATTATTATTTAAATAGGCATAGAGGCTAAACAGCTGTCTAAGAATCAAGGTAAAGTATGTTTATCTTATGTTATTAGATTTGTTAGCATATAATATTTACTTTAAATGTATGTAGAGAAAGTTATAGGTAAGTACGCTTTAAATTAAGCGTACCCAAATAACAAGAAAAAACATTGTATGAAACAATACGGTAGAACTAAGTTTTGTCTCTGAAATGAATGATTAATAAGAAACTATTTCATACAACATATCTAAATAACTCAAATATTCTCTTCTGCATTTTCTTTCCGTAGCAAAGCATGGGTATGAGCGGCTAGTTAAGTAATATCACACGGATAAAATGTTTTATTACTTTGGAAAAACAAATTATTTACAAACTGCATATCAAATAAATTACTAAGAAATAAATATAAAGGTTTTAACTTTATAAAGATGTCCGATGGTAATTACAATATCTAATATTATACACCTGTTATTCAACTCTATTACTTACAGAAATTTTAATTGGCACCACCAGCTTAATCGTTTCATATCCAGGTCCATTACTTGCGCAACGGCTAGTTAGTAGTAACAACATGTTCTTACTGCTGTTCATGGTGAGTGTAAAATGTATTGCCAAATACTTTAAGTAAAATTACCCGCTTGTTAAGTTATTTAGCTACCTGTAATCCAATGAATATCTTTATTGAATAATTCTAAAAAAAAAACATCTAGACCGTTTTTCTTTTATTACATAACTTGGTCTCAAATTTCATAATACGTTATAGATCATAGAATTTGAAAATTTAATTCATTATTAACTTTATTATTTTTATCACCTGCCCTTGATGGTTTAGCCAAAATGTATATAAAAAATATTGGGGGAATCATTGGGTTGTTGTCCACATATATAAAATAATATAAATATTCATAGTGAATATTTGTACCAATTTTGTGTCTTTTTGTGCAAAACTAAAATTATGTGCCTCTATAGATTTTGCGTAGTATTCATGTAAAGCCGTGCTCTCCGATTTCACGTTGGAGTCCACATAAAATAATTTATTAATAACTCATTATCTATGTTGGCACAGAATTTAAAATTTTCTGTACAAATAGGCACAAAAATATTACTTTTAAATTATATAAGCATGAATAAACCTTCTTTTATGTGCAGTTCAGCGTGAATTTGAGGGCCCGTTTAGAAACAAAAAAATGGGCGTTATGATCTACACTATATATTACAGCTCAGTAACTTACATACATATGAGCACATCTAGAGATCTCTGCAAACTTGATCTGTATAGAAGAACTTCCATTACTATATCCTTTTAGTGCACTATATTAGTAGGAATAGGTTTTATACTAGAATGGTATAATGCTAAACTGTAACATTTCGTCTTGCATTGTGAACTTCTATTTGATAATGTTATGTAAACGCTTGATCAGTGAGCTCAGGGGCTCGTGCCTCATATATGTGGAGTCAAAGGTAATACTTCTTATCAAAACAACATCAAATACAGATTTATAGACTCTTATTATTCACGTTTCAGTTTAAGATATGTCCATTAAAAGTTGAGAAGGGATTCAAAGTCGGGGTGTATAAAACAAAAGCTTTTAACATTGAACGGTTTCAATCTTTGTAAAATACTTGAGTTATATTTTTCATACTTAAAAAATATACCTCATGACAATTTTAAACGGTCAGGTTTGTTATGTTTTTCTATAGTTATGTAAATACGGGTTTGTTTCGCTTATTAAATAAATACACAATGATGGGTTTTAATAAATAGTACGATTTAAGTCTTCCAATTATCAGGCAATATTATGATAATTACCTAGAATCTTCCTGATCTAACATTGAAACTGCTTTAAGTTATATATAAGTTAAAAATAACTCATATATTTATATATTAACATATTATAATATATTTCGGGTCATTGGTCGAAAGATCAAAGCCCATCCGTCACTCTTGTGTTCATAGAGATAAACATCCGAAAACCTATTATGACTCTTTGTATTTATCAACAAATAATTTTTTTTGAGAGAGATTTACAAATCTGCATTCTTGTAGGGAGAAAGCGGATATTTTGAATTTTGATGACCTAATCTGGCTGATAAATTAAAAACTTGTTATCGAATTACTTTAAAATTATAATTTAGCAACTAAAAATCATAGTTATAAATACGGCTTTCATTCCATAATAAGTGTCAATTCCCATAAAATTATTAAATTACTAGTTACTCACTACATTTTCTAGTTCATGATGTGTCTACCGTGATACCCACCTATGCTGTCAACAACAACAATTTGAAAACTACTTTGTATTCGGACGAAAGTATTATAAAATGTTTCCAAATGGAAAAAGAAGAAAGTTTTGATCTCGGACCGAATGAACACATACGCAACAAGCTTGTAGCAATACTCTACACTTCTCATCCATCTCGGACTGCAAATGTAGTGCTGGCAGCCCTATATCCCGACTCTTGTTATTACAGTCTTGGAAAGGAAATCAACGTAAAGGATGACGAATTTGAAGTACACCTGCATGGGAAGGGATGGGCGTACTTTAAGGATACAAAATGTGAAGGGAAGAATTTAGAAAGCAATCGCTTGCCTGATACATCGTGGTCTCTTCTAATACCCCAGGTAAGATCATGCCTAAGTAACGCATGTTAAATGGCTGTCACTGCAATTTTTATGACAAAAACTTTCATAAATTGTTTTATCATTAACCTTGATATGGTTCATCAAGGACACCTGCATGAATAACCATTTGAATTACTTGGCGATGAGTTAAAACAAGACTTGATAAACAGAAAAACTTCAAATTTCATATATTACTTTTGAGTTATTTTTTTTATGCTATATGCCATGTGATGTAGTGTGTTGTCTTACAGGACCCGAACGAATATCCTTACGACCCACATTTTGATAAATCTAAAGGTGAGTTAGACACACAAAAGCGTTAGTAGCATAAATCGTGAATACTAAAGATTTACTAAACTCACTTTACATAACTGTCACTAATACTAAACTGTACTAGATATAAGACCAAAATAGTTAAATTCAAACTTAAATTGCCCTGATATATTTTGTGAGTTGGGCATTAAATTATATGTAGTTATATAGTTGCTTTATTATTAAGCTTGCAAGGTGATAAGCTAACATCTCTATCGTTTATCATCACGTTTTTTTTTTCGAAAACTAATATAATTAGGGTAAGTTTTTCATCAAGGTTTAAGGTCTAGATTTAAGTATTCTTTTGATAGGCCTGTGGCTTACGGTAAACTCTAAAGTTTGTGTTACTTTATTTATAGATTAAAATAATTTTGATTTTCAGTTATAGACGTTCTTACTGATTTTCAACTACACTCCTATGGCATTTTAGAAAACATCAAAATTACCGTCCATACCAAAACGGAATTTGTTTTAAAATGCTACGAACTAAATGACGAAGAAAGAGAGAAATTAGATTCTAATGCAAAGTACGTGTCGATTCTATTTAATGACATAGAAGGTACAAACAGAGTAGCCTTACTTATTATGACCACTTGTGATAACATGGACAAAAACATTATAAACGTGAAAGACGAAATGGTGGAAGTATGGTTGTCGAATGACAATTGGGCGTACTTTGAAAATGGCAAGTGTAAAGGAAAAGAATTTGTAAATAGCCAACTTCCCGTCACAGTATGGATATTGCAAGACTCAAAGAAAGAGGTATGGCAGTTGTTGTTGAAATAGCTTTAACTTAAATAGTTAATCTTAATTGCAAGGGAAGATTTATTTAATAAACAATTAAATATAATATAACAAATTGATTTAATTTTTACGAACACCCATAGTAAATTCGTATTAGTCTTAACCTTTTTTATTAGATGATATCTTTTGATTACCAAACAAAACATGATTCTTAAAAGTATAAAATGGTATGTACGATTGTGAACGTGTTTGAACTAAATTATAAATCGAAGGATGTGAGTGAGCGATGTTAAGTAAAGCAACATACAGTTAAAATACGTGCGTACTTTACAGCATGCATAATGCCATGGGGATGACTTCATAAACATTTGTATTACACCACACATATGTACACATACTTACATAAACCTTGACGAGTTTGTTCCCTTTCATTCACTCGACGAAAGTCAGATATTTACTAGATAACCGATTTTTGACGAGGAAAAGAAAAAAAACCTAAATTTTACTACTGATATTTTTAGATTAGCTTATGGGATGTTTCAACGGCATTTAATAACAAACTTTCTTTTACTTTTATAGGATATCTTCAAAAAAATGAGCCAAGGACTTGGACAAGGTAAGGAGAGTTATTTATGACCTATACGAAATCATCTACTGGGTCTTTTTTATCCACATTCTATGATGATTAAACTAAAATTGAAATGCATTTTTTTTTGTATCACGTAATGTACGCACATTGTTACGGGATGGGTACTAATATTATAGATAAAAACACGTATTTAGGTCACACACATTTAAGAGGTAATCACGTGTTCAAGGCGGGTATGAGAATGAAAGAGAGAAGATCCGGCACACGGTCAACTCAGGGAAGTGACTAAGTGTGCGACCATGATGATCGGGTTCCACCAATAGGATTTATTAGACAGAGTATGATTTACAGCTCGAATGTTAAGTTGAAAGAGTAACTACAACATAGTTGACTTAGAGTAATAAAACATAAAATAAGACATGAATAATTAAGACGCATATGATACAAAGAATGATACATATATATATATATATATATATATATATATATATATATATATATATATATATATATATATATATATGTGTGTGTGAGTGTGTGTGTGTGTGTGTGTGTGTGTGTGTGTGTGTGTGTGTGTGTGTGTGTGTGTGTGTGTCCGTGAACACGATAACTTGAGTAATTTTTATCCGATTTTCATGAAATTTGGTTTGAAGGTGTAAGGTGGGATAAACTTGAACGGACCATGGAAACAGGGTTTTATGGGGGGTTTTATGGGGTAAAAATTGGGTTTTCTCACTTTTGACCCTCAAACACACAATTTCACAATTTTTCTCTAAACCTTCTTAAAGAGCTTCAAAAAACAAACAATTCAGTATATCAAAGTGTGTTTGTATGGCTATTGGTTACGGAGAAAACTAAAAAAATGGTAAATTTATAATTCCCATGTTATTCTTATGGAGAATATTGTAAAATTTTGTAGTTTGCTTGTTTATGGATATCTTTTGATCAAACTTGGCAAATATATTCATTTAATACTAAGCAATAATTACTTTACTTAAAACACACACTTTATTAGTTTCCTTGTAGCAGCAAACCTAGGTACTCGTTAAACCTAATGTTATTTATACAGATCAATTGAAAATCAATTCAGCCAAATGGAAATTCGCTTAGACGGCAGGTTTGCTGCGGGGTGGGGGTATTAAGAAATAAATCAATAAGTGAAAAAACCAAAATGGCAGCTATGTGAGTAACTACGGACTTATATAAATATGGTATTTAGATATGTTTCATACTCCTTAAATATTGGTAGAGATTTCATTAACATAATTATTATATGACTTCGAAAACATGTTTTAAATGCGCCCTACCTACGCTATGATTTCTCAATATGAATAAATGTTTTGACACACAATTTGAACCAATTTTTTTCACAACAGCATTCTCTCCGTTGTAATCTGATGTAGCTTTTAACACAGTTTCCAAAGGTTAATGCTTAAATTAGGTCGGGGATCAACTCGTTTATTGGTTTTGATTGTTTCGAATACTCCACATTCCTGACTATCACAGAGTTAGCGGTTATGCTATGCATACTGATATTTAAATATCAGTAGAAACCCCACAGACAAATCGAATTTCGTGACACTTTTTGATGTTTTGGTTTAAAGAGTGAAAATGTAATATTTATATAAAATTGGTCTTGTATAGTTTTACTTTCTCCCCCAATACCATAGTGTATGGAGAAAGTATTGTTTTCGTCAACATTTTCGTGTTTGAGTTTTGAGGGGATATATTCGTTTTGGGCCCCCCTGGACCCAAAAAAGTGGTTTACCAAGTGATATCTGTGTGTGCGTGTGTGTGTGGGTGCGTGTGTCTGGATGTGTACAGAGCTAGGGGCTACACCTGTGGTCCGATTTAGATGAAATTTGGTATTTAGGTTCTAATCTATGGTATCTCCAGGCGTTTTTTTTTCATTTTTTTAGAAATTTTGATTTGTAATGGGGATTTTCCCAATAAACCCCATAAAAAACGGAAAAATTGGATTTTCCCAAAATTGGCCCGAACGATTTTGATAAAAATTTAGTATGTTATAGTCCTTTAAATTCTAAACAAAATTGTACAAATCCCATTTCCGTATATTTACTCTTACACCGCTTACACATGATAAAGGTTGTTGACAAACTTATGGGAGAACGTATGTGTCAGAATGCTAATACCGTTTATTTTATAATCGTTTTGTAACCCAACTACATGCACTTTTAACTGGTAGAAAAGTAAAGTAACACGATTACGAGAGCCTAATACATACACACACACAAAATTGGATAAAATTCACACAAAATAACCAAACTATTTATTTTAATAGTTAATATTCACCTCGGCAGTGGCGAATTTCAACGTACTGTGCGTCAATCACAGAATAGCTATGTGTATTAAGAACGGAATGCCTGTTTGTTTAAAATTCACACAAGATTTCTCCTACCACCATAATTAGCTTATAATAACTCAAATATACATTTTGTTGATGTAAGTAAAATGTAATTTAAGTTATGATTGATTTTTTTAAGGTTATGTTATTTTCTTACCAGCTGTTAAAGAACTTACCATATCCACAGCTTTGGTTGGTCTAGAAACCACAATAGTGAGATCAACTTATTAGCAAGGGGATGATCCGTTCCCGCTCTAGAGCGGAAATGAGCTATTTTGCGTACTGTTTTCAGGTATGGCAATGATATCATTTCCATGCAGCGGTAGGAAAACCCAATTTTAATGGAAAAGTGAATCATTCATTGATAATACTGTAACTGTAATTACCTACAGTCGATGCTTTATGGCACTCACGCTCTCAGCTAATGATGGACGATACACATGTTTACCATGCAATAATCTCTATTACCATTGTTACCTGATATTGTGTTTAAAACGTCTATTGTACTGAGCATTGTACTGAGCATTGTTATAATACAACACAATGTCGGCTTTCAGTCAAACTGTAGGCTGTATTCATGTTGAACAGTTATGGTCCTTATTTGTAGGAACAAATCGAATTGTTAATGAGGAGAATAACTAGCTGTCATATTGATCAGGATTGATTTGGATTGTTGAACAAATTATTAATGTTCCTGAACCTCTGTGTTACCTGCATTAGTATTTTAGTACCGTATTATCTATTTGTGCCAATTTATTTTGGGGTACAATCAGTTGTGTGGTTAAAGTATAATTTAATTTTCATGAGAAAACAAAAAAAAAAAACATTAAGTCTTTGGATGATCGACAAGTCATGCATTTTAAGTAGCTTAATTGAAAATCTCTAGAGTTCTGAAATATATGAGTTTAATTAAAATTGTATTGTAGAAAACAAGTTTTGTAATGTTTATTGAAGCTTTTCTAATACCAAATACAACCGCAAATTAAAATTGTTATTTTAAATACTGTTTGATATGCATATTTATAGTATACAGGGTGTTTCCAAATTGTCTGGAGATATGTTGTGGACTAAGACAATATATTCCTTGGGCTAAGACAAACATAAAATTCCGTATAATTATGGGTCTAAAATGCTTAGATTTCTGTTTGTCGGTATGTTTCTGATTTCTTTAAATTATTTTATATTTTAGGCATTTTTCTAGATAGAAATTTCACAATTAGTATAAATGTGTGCTTTAGAAAGTATAAAGAGCAAAAATTTTTTTTTTTAAATATCTCAAGCTATTTAATTATAGCGGTAATTTAAAATCCCTAAAGCAAAATCTTTATGAAAACCGTAAATATTAAGAAAACTGGTTTTAAGTAAAAAATATAGATAACTTAAGTCCAAATTAAATGAGACCTTGTTTTTTAAAATTGGATTTCAAACAACTAAATTATCAGTTTTCTTTCTACATACGCTTACGCAATTTAAAAGGACTACCATATACTGCTCTAAGTTAGACCCCATTAAATTGCGTAACTGAATATAGTCAAATCAAATACCGGTTCTTGACGAATTACGTAAGTCGTAAATAGTAGGGGAAAATGTGTCAGAATTTGGGTTTTAAACATAACCTTTTTATTTCCAAAGGGGTTAGGCCATGCTTAAATTATTCTTACTAATCCAGTTAGAGTAAAGCTATTTGAATCTTGATTGGTACTCTAGTTTTCTCAAAGTAGACTGCGTAAATTGGCGTCACAGGCATCGGACAGGCAGACGAAATAATTCGGCTTTGAAACATAAAAATAAACAACAACTTCATTAGGTTACGCAAAGTACCAACTAAACTGTAATTTTATTTATAGACGGATTAGGTAAAGATAAGAATGACTTACTATGAATTTAAGTGCTTAAAGACTTTTAAATATAAATGCTGCATCAACAAAGCTCACAAACTAAAATTAAGAGCCTTTGGCTAAAACAAAATCGTGGTAATAAAATCTTAGTGTGAAAGATAGATATAGATCATTGTAAAAGATAACGAATGGACCGCTATGACAAAACAAGCAATTTCTCTCGCAAAATCTCACTGTCTTCCTCAGAACCCATAATGATGTAATATTTTTACTTTAGATGACTTTATTAATATTAAGTAATTAAGTTTTCCATTAATCCTTCTTGGTAGTATTAATAAGTTTGTTTCAAATAAGTTCCAAAATCAGATAGTTTCACAAGTACACGACTAGGAACCCGCTACGCAATTAGTTTTCTAAAGCTCATTTTTAATATCTATCACCACATTCTTTGTTGCCGGTATGTACTCCAATACACGTTTTAAATGTTTGTAGCGCCTGTGTCATTCTCCTTCTTCCATGGAAACAGATCAGAAAAATGAAAATTACATCTTGTAGATCATTACATAGCTCTTGTTATCGAAATATTTGATTATGATCGAAATATAAAATAAGACAAACACGTTTTAAGCCAAATAGTGTGGCAAATACATCTTTGCAACACACTCCTTTGAAACAACCTGTTTTAGTTACATGTTTATCAACTACGAAAATTCACCATTACTTCAACTGTTTAAATTTTCGATAACCAAAACACTAAAACCAAATTTAAAATTAACTTAAACCCTTTCATGTCGAATTTTTACAAAGTTAAATGTTGTATACAGATGTTCTTAGAATAATGACATTAAAAGGGGTGACGTGTATAGTTAATCCTACTAATATTATAAATGAGAAAGTTTAGATGTATGGATGTATGGATGTATGGATGTATGTTTGTGACAAGTGAACGCGAAAAATACTGGTCGGATTGGGCTGAAATTTGGCATGATGATAGCTCACATTCCCGATTAACATATAGGCATATTCTTATTTCAAAAATCCTTTCAGGCTCCGCCCCAGTGGCTCTGGAGTTTCCCATGTTA